GGGGCGAGGGTTAGGGAGAAGTTAGCGGAGATGGGTGTCCAACAGAGGCCTGCAGTATCACCAAAGATGGGTGTCAAGCACTTCTGGTTAAAGGGCTCTCAGCCATCAGAAGGTGGCATCCAGTAGAAGGCCTCACCACTGGCATCATAATGAGCCTCTGTGATTTTATAGGAGGCCACATTTGGAACTTGACAGGCACAGAAAGCTGCAAAAAGGGGCCATCGGACAAAAAATGTGTTTGCGGGGTTTTGCACAGAGCCTCCGCCAAACCCAGTGAAAGGGTTTCACCCAGTTCGTGCAACAATTGCAGATACCGGGGCTTGATCCCCAGACTTTCCCCAACCCAGTGTACAGTATGTTTGTGTTGTTCATTGACCCTGTGTGCCTTGAACCGACGACCTGTCCCCAAACCCGTGTGTGAAGCCCGGGTCGTGTGGATTTGATCCGTAGGTCTGTGGCTTAGAAGTCTTAGGGTCGTCCGTAGGTGTCCCGAAAAGGCAAGTTTACAGTTGACCTTTCGATGGCTATACGTCCTCTGAAAGGTCAGTAGGTTGTGGCTAGGTTAGGTCTTGAAGAGTCAACTTGACCCCTCGAAGTCAGTATAGGCAGGCCGTCAAATCTCTGAAAGGTCAAGAGTCCCAAGTCAACCACGAAGGGGCACATGAAAAGGCAGTCCCAGTCCAGTCCGCTTTGCAGCAAGTACCAGAGTGGGACTGCACTTCTTGAGGCCCTGGGACATCAGGCAGGCCCAGACCACCAAACGAAACAGTAAAAATATAGAGGGAGCGATCAGTCATTCACTCATTCGCAGAAGCACTGTTTGAGTGTGTTGTGACAGGTGGTCAGCAGGAGAGCCCAGGTTGAAGAGGGCGAGAGGCCATAGCAGCTAGAAGGAGGAAGACTACTGCGGCCATAGCTGCCCGTGTGTAGAAGATAGAAGATAGAAGATAGTGTGTGTGAGTGCAGACATTCAGGGTAGATCCAAGTGTTGTGTGTGTACGTGCGTGTGAGTGTGTCTGATGGTGGATATACTGTTCGGGTGGGAATTTCAGACTGGCGCTCCACAAGATGTGGCAAGTTGTCTTGAGCCGAGTTCCTGGCCGAAGGCAATATCCCTGAGTTCTCTGTGTGGGCGCACTGCCCCATCTCAAGCTTGTTGCTGATTCCTCTTTGAGGAAGTTGTTTTGCCATCGGCATCTGCATGTATGCATGTTGGACGCGAAATCGGGACGAGTCTGAATGCGCCAGAGGCTCAGCCGCAGGTTGGCAATTGGCTTGTGTCTTTTGGCACTGGTGGTGTAAGCAGCACGTGGCATTCACTCAAAGGTTGAGCTGTAAAGAGAGGAGAAGAAGGGGAGGAAGAGGAGAAAAACCCCATTGTGGTCGAAAGCACAACCACAGGTTCTGGTATCAGTCAGACTTCTGTTGAGTTCTCCGCACCCTTATTTCTTCTCACAGGTTCTTACAACTTCTAAGTGAAATGCAGTAAGTACTGTCGACTCACCAAACGGTAGTGTTGGCAACGTCCCCAATTAATTTTTCACTGAGGCTTGAGCTGCTTTGAGCAGCAATATGAGCTGGCTGAATAAGTTTAACATGCAGTTCCTGGTTACTTGTGTTTCCATCAAGAGAATGGCTGTTGCGCGGAGGGAGGCAAGGTGGTGGGGGGATGGTGGTGTTGGCGGCGTATCCTCATCTGCATGAGGATTTTTCCAATTCTCCCATAGATCCGTCAAGAGAAAGATTGTTGAGTTGTGGGTGGGGGGGGGGCGCGCGGTGGGAAGGAATACAGGGAGCGAAATCATCTCCATGAGAAATTTTCCGATTCTTCCATGGCTCTTTGTCGCTGCGAAAAATGTGAACGCAACAACTGACCTAGCTCAGTTGGTACACCCACAAACTGGTGAAATACAGATCCAAAAGTTTTTGAATGCAGATACAGCCAGATGACCACAACAAAATCATTCTGAATTATCCGGGGCCGGCCTCGACGATGATATCTCAAGGCCCTTTTTTTTTTTTTTTTTTTTTTTTTTTTTTTTTTTTTGAAAGAATGTGAACGCATTGAGGAGAGATTATTGTGGACCATGTGTTGGAAAAGATAAGGTATCTTATGCCTCCTGTGACTTGCATGATCGATCAAGCGGTTGATGGCCTGGAGAATCAATGGAGAGAATCATGATGTCTCCCTGGATTAGTGCTGCAGGTTCTGAAGCACTTAACTATCAAGCGGCCAATCGAGACGAATAGGATGGACTTCTTTGCTCATGCGGAATCATTTGCAGCTCTTGTTAACATGGGTTTTCTAAATGTAACAGGCAAGTACCGTGTAAGTTGGTTGGATCTGTTTGCAGATTTATTTTACAAGCTTTTGTCTGTTTCTGAGCTTTGAAAAGAAAAGGAGCGGGGGCCTTAGAATGCTTGGGTTGGTGGGGGGGCCACACAGTCAAGCAACAAATAAAAAAAGGGACAAAAGCAGACCCACTGCCAAGTGTGTATAAGGGAACAACCGAAGACAAAGATAAGAGTTCAACAAGCCGGTCTGCTGTATGTCAGCCCATCTCATACTTAAGGGTGGGTGCGCCACTGGTGTTACGTTTGTGCTTGGAAAGCATAAACCTGCCTCCGTTACTTTGTGCTCAAACTTAGACGACGTCATTTCACAAACAGTGAAAACAGTGAAAACTTGTGAAAAGTGATGGTTGAATTCAAAGTTTTCAAACGGAAGAACATTGCTCATGCCAAGCCAATGCTGTTCTGATTGACAAGACACAAGAAACCTTTTCTCAGTTACAGCAGGCAGACATGAACATGCAACCACTGCCTGATTAGTAAGACCATGATGAAGATGCATGGTAGTGGGCAATGGACAACATAAGAGGCCGGACTTCTGCGTAGACAGCATATCTTCAAACTCCAACTTCAGGTGTAAGAAAAAGGAGGGAAGTGTGAACTAACGATTATCACTGTATCAGATTTAGCGGCCATGCACTTGATCCGGCGATAGACGGTCCTGGTTCCACCTGCATTGAACCACGTTGTTCGTCCCCTCAAGCACATACACGCAATGAGAGGTCACAAGAAATCCACACTGGAGACCAGAGAGAGGCGATGTCCAGATTAGCGCAGCTTAGAAATTCCAATGAATTAGCATATTAAACAGTTTCGGAGTTCCGGTCTCCAAGCACTCAACAGCGCAGCGTTCATCATCCCAACATCCAGGTAGGCGACGTCCTCTCTCTCTCTGTCTCACCTCTCTCTCTCTCTCTCTCCCTTTCATGCATGTGTCCACTCTCTCCCTCGCTCTCCCTACATGAAGATCTTGACTCTGAGACATCCGCCTGATACTCGGCTCTACTCCTACTGCTATGCTCCGCGGCTATGTCCGCCTTCCTTCCACAGCGCAGAGCTGCCCAGCCAGGGCTCTAGCGCTTGCCAACTCGCAGTTAGCGCACGAGCGCGCAGGAGCACTTCCACACTTCTCACGAATGAGCAATGTCTGAAATGTGGCTGGCCAGTCTCTATATTGACTTGGACCCGGTACCAGCTGCCCGCGGCTTGTTTGCTTTCGGAATGCTGAGGCCGTGTACCTCCCCGAGTTTTCCTTGGTGCGCTGCTGCTGTTTGGTCTGTGGGACGTGACTTTTGCCCGGGGGATGTGACTTTCGACTGGGTACATGTTGAACCTGACCTCTGGAGTACCCGACATAACCTTTCGGAATCTGGCCGACCTGGCCTCTTTTGCCTTGGGGACTTTTGACCCTGAGATTCGAATTTAGAGTCTGCAGTGTGAAATGCCTTTCACACCAATGTGGCAGGACACCAGCGTCTGATAGGATGGTAAACATGAGTCGCTATAGAGCAAAGTGGAAACAAGGACATTGTAAGAAAAGGGTAAGAAAGGGGAAGAAAGAGAAGTGTTACGGTATAAAATAAATGTAAGAGCTCGAGGTAGAGGAGGGTGAAACAAGGTCTCATGCACGGAGAGGAGAACAAATACACCAGTATTTTGAGAGAAAAAAAAAAGACAAAGCAGTCATCAGGGGACATAGGTCCAGTCGCTATGTGTGGCAAGTGATTACCCAACAGTAGCTACTGCTGCCTCACTATTAAAGGGCAGGCCCCACTGGTCATATGTTCATGCCTGGGAAGTATGATACTGCCCATGATGGCGGCCAGGTTTTGTGCTTTCATGGTATTAATATAGGGCCAGTGGGACCTGACCCCTACTCTTGGTTATACCACTCAGGCCGTTTTCCTCCTGCCACTGTCCCTGCGCGCGCACTGAGAGAGAGAGAGAGAGAGAGAGAGAGAGAGAGAGAGAGAGAGAGAGAGTGTGTCCACCCCCCATTTGCATCCACTCACCTCTCTTCAGCAATCTTTGTCATCCTCCCCCTTCCTTCACCCGTCTTCCCCACCTCCCTCCTCCTGCTTACCCTGCCTGGATCATGCCAGCTTTTCCCTGAAGCGATACAGACACACAGGGGGGG